TGGGATGAAGATAGGAATTCTGGCAATCATGGCTAAAAAAAATTATGTAACATTCCAGCAGGCACTAAAAAAAGGCAATTTTCTAAACAATTTAGTATTCTGAATAGAATTAGATATAATGAAAAGAAAAGGTGAAAGTAAACAGATCTGTTAATCTCCTTTTTTGTTCACATATTAAAACAATCCTCAACAGCTGTTTAATTTAAATTAAACCATTTAAATCATGTGAATAATAAAAATATTTGGATCCATTTTTTTATGAGCGCTCTAATGGATAATGTATCCTGGGCACTACCCTGATGGTGTTGCTGGGTTCCTCCAGTGCCCCGTATTATTCGTGGTGGTGGGCCCCGGAGCATTGGGACCCCCTGTCCGTTTTTTGGCAATGGAACCCAATGCTTTTCTCCATGATATTGTGGGTCAACACCTGGTCCTTGTCAGTTTTTTGATAAAGAAATACCCTCTATGGTGGTTTGAGAACAGCATTCATTAGCTCAATGTCTCCCTCTATGGCATCATGGGCAAATACTTGGTATTCTACCCCTTTGATCATATCCAGTTTTGTGAAACCCTCCTCCTATGGAGCAACTCCTTCTAAAATGTCCTGTTTGTCCACAATTGTAGCATGTTTTTGGCCTGGCACCTAAAGACTGTTGTATTACAGCTGCAAAGACTTGCTCCTGTTCATTAATGTCTCTACATAATTTAATATATGTGTTTAAATCTCCATGTTTCCATGGTCTAATGACCTCCCTGCACCATTTATTTGCTTGCTCGTAAGCTAGTTGTTTTATTAATGGCATTGCTTGTTCTGCATCCCCAAAGATTCTCGTGGCTGTTTGTATAAGCCTATCTACAAATTCAGCATAAGGTTCATTAGTTCCTTGTATTACCTTAGATAATTGTAAATCTCCATGCCCCTGTGAAGTTTTCCATGCCCTAACTGCAGCTGAAGCGATTTGTGAGTATATGGCAGGATCATATCTAATTTGTTGTAACTGACTCTCATAAGGTCCCTTTCCTAACAACATATCTAGATTTCTCTGAGGATAACCAGCTGCTGCATTTCGCTTAGCTATCTCCATGCAAAATTCCTCATTGGCAACCTTCCATAACAGATATTGTCCTTCGTTTAGCACAGCTTTGCACATACTAGCCCAATCTGCTGGCGTCATGTCGAAGTTGGCAATGGATTCGACCATACTTATAGTGAAGGGTGATTGAGGACCATAGGTTGTTACAGCCTCTTTCAGCTGCTTCACTGTTTCCAAATCTAGAGCATGGTGAATTCGCTGCCCTTCTGTTGTCTCAAATACAGGGCATCGTAATCTTTGAGGTCCTGTCTCATGATCCCATCTACCAACTACGGGGGTTTGGGGCCCCCCAGCATATGTTGTCTCCATAGGTGGAGCTGTTGGTTGGACACTTACGCCCT